AACTGGTATAAATCGGTCGTGGCTCAAAGAGAGGTCAGGTTGAACACACGTGACTGAAGGAAGGCAGATGGATCAAAACGTTTTGCGCTGCATGCATCTAAACGTGACCTGTACCCTTCGCAGGCTTTAAAGTGAGTTTGCTGAAGCAATGAGTGCGAGCTTTAACACGGTCCTCAAGGACTTCTCCCGTGTAGGATAGCCGCAAAAACCTAGCACCTTAAACTGAACAATACAATGCAACATTCCAAGGTATATAAACTATAGTTCATAGCTTGTACGACGCAAAGTATAAAAAGAGCGTCTGGGGCTAACTGAATTAAAACTGTAATCTAGTAGGTGAAATCCTAGAAGCTCTTCAATTCAGTAAATACTAGCGGCTTCAGGCTACCTAAAAAGTCCAATCACGAGGACAACAAACTTCGACGTTCCTAGCACTATAAACAGCAATAATACAACTTCGAAGTACATGGTTTGTGCAAAACCAAACTACAGCTCTTGTCTTGACTATATTATGAACAGTTTTAAACTGCACTCCGAACAGTTGCTGAAAAGCAGGTAAATCTCTTGGGTCTTTAATCACTAAAACACTACACTGGGCCTTATATATTGTAATTGTCTTACATTGCAGCAGTTTTAATGTCCCGCTATAGTATACCAAAAACGCTGTCCCGCGCAACCTAATGTCAACAAAATGAATAACACTTGTAACAATTTCATGTCATCAGATTTAACGATTATAATAAATAAAAGACATTAAAGCATTAGTGTTTATTTAGGCACTGGCAACAGTAATACTATGTTATTGCAGCCTGCTATGCAAGAGAAAGTTGCCGGTAGCTACTAAACTGAGATTTGCAGAACGCACGCAGCACGCGAGAGCGGCACGGCTCTGCCAATGTGATTGCTCTCGGTACAAACTGTCCTTTTTTTTTTTCTGGAGGGATCTCTTGCGGAGACAGGCGAGTCTCCCAGCAAGAGCAGCACACGGCGCCTCCATGTGTCTGTCACGTGGTCCTACACGCCACAGAAATATGAGCCTGTTTCACGTGAGGTTTAATGTGCAAAGGAGGGGAAGAGGTCCGGAAGCAGACCGAACCAAACAAAATAAGGAAGGCGCACACACAAGGCAGGAAATTTCGTGAGAAAACTGGCTTTGCAGTAATCGGTGAACAAATGCTCACTGCCTTCATCCAAGGCTATTACTGCTATATTATATATTACCAAACCCGAACTGACTCTACTCTATTATTTCACTCATTTGAACGGCACTTTTATATTAAATGAAGGATTTAAGTCTTAACCTAATACAATTATGGTTTATTGTTACTTAATAATACTAATTTAAGATGGTTGTGCGAGAGTTGCAAATATCACAGACTTCCCCGAGAGGGATAAAAATTAAACATTAGCAATTCCTGACATTTTAAATCTACATGCAAATGATAAAAAAAGTTTTTCCAGTAAATCATTAAATGCGCTGTTTATTTTGTTTTGTTCAAAATTGTATAAAACCGATAATAACATATCTTACAAACTCGCATTTTCCGGTGTCAATACTATTTGGCAAGCAAACGTGTACCGTAATGAATTATCTTTTCGCTAGACGCTTTTTCCAAGACCATTATTTTTATGTAGAAAGGTAAGTTTGCTATTGCTGCTGTATTTGCATAAAGCTTGGGCAGGTAATCTCACTGTAATGTGTAATACACTGTTACATTGTTAATGCTCTCTTTATTGTGCTTCTGATGAATATGTTCACAGACTTACTCCAAAGACAGTAAGGCACTGGAAGGATTTAAGAGTCTCAAAGAGGTGTGCACCATTGGAATTGAACGGAAGGCTTAACGATGGTTTACTTCTAGCTAAAAATTAAATTAGACAAAATGGTTATGCTGTCAACCAGTGAAATGACTACACACCAAATTTTTCTGATGCAAAAAGAGTTTTGCATTGCAGTTTACATTCCGCATCTAAACCAACAAGACCTGTTTGAACTGATAACAAGGCTGTATAAAATACTCAAGATCACAGCACAGATAATACCACCACATCAACACCACATTTATTTGTTAACTGTTAAGGTACCCATAATCACAGCTACAGTATTGTGGTACAGTCCTACAAAGGCTGACTTTTGGTGGCATAGCATATGGTAATATATTTGAAATCAGAACATACAGTATGTTCTCTTTGCTGTTTTAAAGAATGCACTGAGAATATATTTTGCTTTTATTATTGAATTTCTCTGCTCATGCAGTATTATTCCTTGCAGCAGTAATCCTGAATTGTAATCCACATTTAGTTTCCAGCATGGATAGGGTGTGCAAGATATAAATTAAGATTATTCTTTTAACAGTTTAAAATGTTTGCCATTATAATTTTGAATGATAGGAAATAAAATGTCTAAAATGCAATAATCTTCTGATAATGTCACTAAAGAAACCATGTACTGAAAATGAACTAGTTGGTTAATACTTGGAAGTGTTCATGTGTGCTAATTTCAATGCACAATGCCTTTGAGGGATAATAGAATACCTTCATTAACATTGAAATGGTTCAAATTAAAAAAGAAAAATACAATAGGATAAATCAACTTTTAAAAAAACTTGTAACTAAGAAAACAAGAAAACCTTATAGTTTTCTTGTGAATTGAGCTGTGAATGAAAGTTACGATGAAGGTGGTTTAATGTATACAGGCTGCAGTTATATGCATATGTAAAATAGAAAGATTTGTCTTTTACAGAGACATAATACAAACATACAGTAATGCACAATCATTTTCATGAACGATATACACAGCATATTAATGCTGTGTTAGTAAGTGAGCTTCAATAAAATCATAAACAAAAAAAAACAATACATAGGTTAGCCCACTAAATAGCACCTCTTTCTGCAAAAGGCTTTTCAGACAAAGTAGGCCAAGCTAAATAGGAATTCCGCCCACATCAAAGTAGGACGCAAAGTGTACTGACAATAAAAAACCTTTGAACTTGCAAATTACTGTACCTCAGAATCAAACACCAACCGCAGTTCAAATACTGAGATTGATTTCTGCAGTACTGTGTAACCAGACTCAAAAAGTTAAAGTTTGAGCTCGTCTTCCAATTTGAACTGTTTTTCCATCACATAAATCTGTAAAGAGACAAGTCCAAACCATTCTCCTAGCTTTCTCTCATTGAAAAATCTAATTACTGTGGAACACAGCTGGAGCAGTCAACTGTCAAACATACATAGGGCTTACAATCCTAACATAAAGACATCATTGTCATTTCTAGGGTTTAACTAGAATTTCTTTTGAAACTGTACACCAGTTTTTGACATTCGTGGATACCATGCATCCTGAGGTTATCCTTTGAAGGTTAGTTACAGGTTCTTTTTTAATATTTTTACATAAATTGAATATTGTGAATTTAGTTACTAATGGCATGTGCAGATGGTTTCACATAAAGGCATGATCTGTCAAAGCTAGCACAAAAATGTAATACAAAGCACTGTTGTGATAGGTTTACATTCTGGATAACATTACACACTAATTAGATATATTCTGTCACCCTGCACAGTACTGTAGTACTGAATGCTGACTTCTGTTGCCAGTGATAGACCTATTCTTAGATTTTAGCATATTCATCTAGTCTTGAGTCACCCTGTAACAGTCCAAGTAAATAAGAACTTTAATGATACTTAAAGTTTAGAATGCACATTATATGTATTTTTGGAAATTCAGCCGTGTGTGCTTTTAAACCTAAGATAAATTCTTGGATTGGCGACATAAAAACAAATGGGTAATTTTATTTGTTTTGGGCTTGGTTGGTTAAATGCATGCAATTTAACAATTAAAACCCCTGCAAAAGGAAAAAAAAACATGGATATCAGTACCTTTTTGCTTATTTCCAAATAACAAAATAAAATATTCAATAAGACCATGGATTTAATTATGCTGCAATAAGTCACATCCTGTTAATGTGAACAAATGATAGTAATACAAATATATACCTTTTATAAATAATATTTGAAAACAACATTTTATTAATCAAGGACAGACAACATTCAGTGTCAAGGATCAGAATGTAATAGTTGGTTAAGTTAAACTGAAGAACCATTAGAAAGTCTCTATGGATTTTTATTCAATCCAGAGCACATTAATCACTTGAAGAAAGATACTGTAAAACAGCCTATAAATCGTAGTAGATCGATAAATATCTTCAAATGTCCAGCTAAGGTATTTTAAATGACTGTGTATTGTATTCTTCATACTGTAGACACAGATTGTCAGGGCACATAAAATACAAAATTGAAACGCTAATGCTAATGAAAACATTCTACTAATCTACCACCTAAAATTTATTTTAAGGCAATTATTTTAGATGAAAATAATTCAGTATTTTCTTTGTACTTCTTTCAAAAGTGTAGCTTTAGAACACATTTGAAAAAACTACAAATTTGTTACCATAGCTAATCAGTATTATTACTAGTAGATAATTACTTTATATCTTAGCTACCTAATCTACTGTAACTGTCTTAGGTTATCTTTTAAGTTATATACATACTTCAAAGTATCGCTAAAGATTAAATGTGTGTCAATATTTAGTTCATTTAAATGAGTGGCTAGCAAGGTAAAGGCTATTTGATTTTATATCAAATAGCATGTGATAAACCCATCATGACACGCTGGGCTCTGATCATGGTAAATCATAACTACCTACATGAACCCAAGATTTCTTTCAATTACATTACTAACCTTGCTTGTCTCATAGTCCTTGCTGGAAATTAATTACTTCTTAATGTCAAACTTCGTAATTGTCACTGAAGAGGATCCTGAGATACTTGTTTAACTTGTGTGTGGTTAAGTCATGCATGTGTCTATAGTCAAGATCTGTACCGCTTCCTTTTTATAAGATATTTTCGTTTGTGAATTCCCGTATTATACTGAAGAAATGCACATATTGTATGCAGACAGAATGCTGTACAGTATATGGTTTTGCATAATTTGGGCACATTACCTGATCTGACAGGACTGTGAATGCAGTTTGGGGAAACCATGGGCGTGTGAATGGAGGTGGTGGCACGATTGCTCAGGTCCATGACAGAGGGCGCTGGCGGGGGCGGTGCTTGCTGCAGTGCTGGTTGCTGGTGTTGGTTTTGGTCATGTTGAGAGGGACTGGATGGGATACCATTTTCTGAGAGAAATTCCTCAAGGTCCATGTATTCCAACTGAAAAGTGTCTCCATCGTAAGGCAGAGTCTTGTCCCACAGAGTTGGACCCAAGAAAGCGGACTGGGGTACATTTGTTCCACTGCCTTCATCGTCTATTTTCTTCTCCTTCTCCTTCTCTTTCCCAAAGCCTATAAAACGTGAAAAACCTTCATTGCACACACAGTATGTGAAGTGATATTGGCACAGCAACCTAAATCCAAGCATTCACTTTTCCTCTCCACCCAATTATCCCAAATGGAGTTCCCGGCAGTTTCTAAGGCTATTATGCAGTGTTTGACACAGACATTAAAAGATATAATGCAGTCCCACAAAATGAAGTTTAAAGCACCCTTCTAATCGGAACACTTGAGGTAACAGTTCACCAAGGGATTTCGCTGCCAGGCAGACTAACAAAATTGAAAGCAAGCAGTTAAAGAGTGCAGAAACTACACTCTTTACATTCTACGAAGTGTTGTCGTTTTTGACTATTATCGAATTTTACACGTTGCATTATTCGATATCTTTTTATGTGCTGTTTAAATATACGAGCATAAAGGCACGCCGATTAAGATATTTCATTGCCGAATAATTTTAGTTCCAAAGGTAGTTTCAAATTCTACCCATCCAACTCTTTGAAATAATGTTACTTGTGGAGTTGGCGTTTTCTAACCATAGTCAGAAACGTTCAATAAATAGTAATTAAATATGTGTATATTTAAAAGTGGGACGTCTTATGAATAAGACGCAGTTTCTGGATAGTCGAAGCACTCATTCTTATTAAACAGTAGTTTAGCAAACCAGTGTTGATGTCTGCCTTAATGCCTTAACTTATCTTCAAATAGTTACTCAATTACCGGAATTTTAAGATGCCCCCAAAACGAAAAAAAAAACCAAAGTACTAAATACTGAAGTTCTCAAGCTTTCCACTTGAACGTGGCACAGAAACAAAACATGCAGAATTTACATTAATTTATTCCAGAAGTAAGGACAGTCAAATTACTTTTTTAGTATTTCTAGTTATGCCTGTGTGCCTTAACCTTACAGTATGTGCATTACAGAATTGTTTAGCACTGGCAACTGAACGTTGTCCTTTTAATTTTCGAGTTTCTTCATCATTACCTTTTATGTTATTCATCATTAGCTAGACTAATTTGTAGCCCTGTTGCATTTAAAGCAAAAAACATTTCCAGTGAAAAGCTTTATTATGCACAGTACTCATACTGTTTTTATTTACCCTCTTCGTGATGAAGCGGCAGTTTCAAAGGATTCTCCAGTAGCGATTTCAGCACGCCATGGGTTGGAGGTAGGAAAGTTGGATTTACAGGGAGAGGTCTAGCCATTTTCTCCATCTTGCAAAAAGGAAAAAAAAAAACAACTCCTCTTCCAACAATCAAAGAATAATATATATTTAAAAAACGAAACAGGTGATCCCGGAAACAATTCGACTCGCTCTGCGACTGCAATCGAAGAAAGATTAGTCCCCCCAAAAGGTCGGGTATGTTTACGTTCACACAGGTTGGGACAATCTGCGAGACTGAATCCAGGCTGAAATGATTCGCAAATCCATGTGCAGATACTGACAGCTGTGACGTCAAACCTTTTGGCAAAACTCATGAATACGAATAAGGAGGCAGGAGAAAGACAACCTGGACTGGGCCGTGCGAATGCGTTTGCTTCGCGTCGCCTCCCTTGATGGAATTATTAGTTTTGCTTTTTGAAACTGCTGTGATATTATCATATTCGTTTATCTTTGATTTTTCTGATGCGTTACTGAGGTTCCGTGTCCATTGTGACTTGGAGTAAGCTAAGTGGTTGAAAAACATCAAACTGCAGAAGTGACAATGCGTAAGTTCATATATGGGCAAATAGTAGGTAATCAATTATAAACTGTAACTTCACACCTTTCTTCACAGTTATATTCAGTTCTTCAAGTACATTTTTAATCAGTAGTGCCAAAAATTGTGGAGTGCGCCGCTTTGGGTATTCAGATAACTTATGAATTTTAAACGTCTTAGCTCAATAAAAAAAACTTCAATTAATCGCATATTTTCGATTATTTTTTTACAAAAAAACAAGAAAGCCGTACTAAAGAATCTTTAAAATTGTAAAGGGGTGTTTTAAATAGTTTCATGAATAGCAGAATTTAACGCCATTTATATATTTAAAAAAGGTAGATTGTGCCTTATGTATTATTTTGCGATACAGTGTGAGGTAAGCAGGAATGTATGCATGTCTGACTTTTTTTTTATAAAAAAGGTTTTAAAACGTCTCCCAACATAAAGCGAGCATGCAGTTTTAGTATTAGTTATAATATTTTGATCTTAAAGATGTAAATGTGGTGGGGAGGGGAATACCCGCAAAGAAAACATTGCATGGCTTGAACACACTGCCTTAGAGGTTTAGAGTGTGAGCTTTGCGTGACAACACACGCGTGCACTTTATAAGCAGAGCTGGGTAGGAGTTCACAGAAGCCTACAGACACTAGTATAAACAAGACGTACTTGTTTGTAGAATAGAGCATTGAAGATTTTTTTTTTCCTAGATGTGGCGTTTTTGCAGTAAAGTAACCTGTGTATATACTTTTCTGTTCTGTACTTATTTAAATTTATTTAAAGTCTTATCATTTTTCATTGGAATTTATTTCTCACCCGCCTACTTCAAATACAATAGAATTCAACCCGTAAACCAAAAAAAACAACACAGCTTCCGAGGTGAATGATTTAGCTCTATCACACGTTGTCTGCACGGATACAGTACAGAGGGCTGCGGGAATGGGTTGTCACGTGAGGAGGCTGGGTTGACCTACTTTTATCCAATTGCAGCAGGAAAGCTTAAAACGCCAGTGTTTCTGATCCATGGTCATGTCACATTGAACTTCATGTGTTCAAGTTGGAAAGAAAAATACCCACCACTCCCCCACCCCCGAAAAAAAGTATAGGCATTTTAGTTATCCCGAGTTGACTGTACAGACTCTCTGTTAGTACAGTTACAGAATCTGCACCAAGCACACTTTTGTTCTTACGTTAATATCTTGATTTATCTTCGCTGCTGTTCATTATTTTAAAGTTTTTAACGAAACAAATGAGAGAGAAAGCACAATTCCTTCGTTGAATAAAATGAAAGCTTGGC